GTGAAATGTGGAGATTTGGGCATTCTCACAGTGAAGAGAGGTCAGCGAAAGCCGTTCGTCACATGACACTCGAAAGTACGCCACAGATTCATCAAACTTTTTCACACTATCCGACAGTCTCGATTCCAGGCCACTCTTCTTTCAGTCTCAGACAAGGCCAACTCGCGAACCTTTTCCAACCAACTTTTCCTTCCAACTAAATAATTCGATGAAAAGTTGGGTTTCGAGGAATCGCTTGTTTCATTCTTGTTGAGCTTACTTCCAGTTCGATTGGCTTTACTGGAAGCTTCATGCTGACGCTGTTTCCGAGGCAATCTCCTTCGATTCCGGTGACAAGGTGTTAAGCTTTCGTCTGCCATATGACTTGACTCGTTAGCTTGAATTTTGTTGTCAAGATGATACCTTGCTATGATGATGTTCGTCATGTGACGGACGAAAGCTTAGCACCTTTTCACCGGAATCGAAGGAGATTGCTTCGGAAACAGCGTCAGCATGAATGTTCCAGTAAAGCCAATCGACAGCTGGTCAAGAAGAGCCGACCTTCGAATCTCTTCACCCAACACTTTCACTCGAAATGGAAGTGAGCTAAACAATTATGAAACAATAGATTCTTCGAAACCCGACTTTTAAGTATTATTGACAATAATGGCTCAAGTTATGGCACACTTCTTTGTGAGTCGAATACAAACAAGTCCGAGGTTGTGATACAACTAGAGTGTGACAATAGGATAATAAAAGTAAATAGATATGCCATGACAGAAAGAGGAGTTTTAGGAAAAAAAAGACGACATGGGATTGATGTCATTTGTCGTCTTCTAAACGTCATACTTTACTTAAGCTACTTTCTAGCAGAAGGCTGAGGCTAAGGACTGACAAGGAAGTGGATTTTGTGAAAGTTGTTTTCTTGCAAAAATAATCGTGCAATTGCAGTCTCGCTAGAATACATCAAAACACACACTATACTCAATTGGGTTTGCGTTTATTATTAGATTTTCGAGACTAGCGGTAGATGCATTTACTCTATTTCGTTCAAGGAAATAAGAGACCTAGAAGTAGAATTCTCCCATATTCCCATAAAATTTCACATAGCCACAATGCTCTTGGGCCACACTGACAATGTGCATAGAAAGTAAAGCCAGACATTTTTCCCCTACATCTTCTGGTAGTGTGACAGACCAAAGTGTGACAGGCCCAAGTTACTTGAAACCTTTCAAGCACAATTTAGCAACGGTTCTCCTCTCATATATGCTAATTAATATTAATATTTGTATTGTATAGTACATATTTTTACCTTGGAGTTAAATTGTATGGACAAACCAGACGTTTAGCCATTTAATTGTGTTTGCCTCCAGTTCTACGGTCTTTTTAAGAAGAATTCCTTAGTCCGATACTTTACTATGTTGGGACGACTTTCATTTTGTATGAAAGTGCATGAAGAAGGCATTCGTTGGTCGATCTCACCAGGTGAAGACGACAGCCGTTTGGCTTTTATACGACGTTGAGATTGATGCAGTTGATGTGACGGACTAAAGCTTAGCACCTTTTCACCGAAATCGAAGAAGATTGCCTCGGAAACAGCGTCAGCATGAATGTTTCAGTAAAGCCAATCGACAGCTGGTCAAGAGGAACCGACCTTCGAATCTCTTCACCCAACACTTTCATTCGAAATGGAAGTAAGCTCAATAAATAATTCGAATCCCCCTAACTTCAAAACACACCTTTTCGTCCTATTCAAGCGCTCTCTTTTCTGTGTGTGTGTGTGTGTGTGTGTGTTGGCGGTTTGTCAAGGTCGTCGTTGTGATACTTTAATCGGAGGCCTGAAGGCCAAAATGATTTGACATCGTTTTCGCAATTTGGTCCCGTTGCCAGAGCGACCAATTCATCCGGAGTCCCTTTATATGGTAGCCGTGAGAACTTGAGTGCATCCATCAAGGCGGTTGTCATGTTTCGGTTTCCGGTGCGGCAATTGTGTCTTTTCAGATCATATCCACAGTCCACCGACATCAAAGCGATTCTTCGTAGCCCAGTTTCCCTTGACATCTACACTAATCTCTACTTGAACTGCTACACTTCTCAGTCCTCTCCGTTGGTTGTTGCAATTCCCATGCCTCCTACCACTTCTTCTTGCCTCAATCCCATTCTTTGGGTCGTTGGGATTATTCACTCAGTAGACTTGAACAACCTTCAACTTCTGCTGAGGCTCGTTTGCCATTTACTCATCGCGTCGCTATTGGCAGCACATCCATCCAAGCTATGGGGCAAAAGTTAATTTCGAACAATTGTTTGGTAGTTCGGCAGTACCGGTCGAGGGGCCGAGGTAATCCGAGCAGAATGGAGCCTGTCATCCGA